CTCACATTGAAAACAAACGTTGTTATGATACATTTCCCCTACAGTACGCTCATCACCAATACGGTTTGACAAGCCCTTTATGTGATACGGTTTAAATGTAATGTTGGTATTCGACGCTTGATTGGTGTCTGGTGGTCGTTAATAGTACATAGAGGGAAGGGATAACAATTGTCATTGACTGATGTGCTCTGTTTTGTTTACAATCGATTTCGTGGTCGCAAGGTGTGGTCCCTCTGGTGGTCGCCAGGTGTGGTCCCTCTGTTCACGGGTAGTTACACACCGTGTATTGCGTCACACAGATCCGATATCTATGGTTGTTTATCTGTTGTAACACGGTGTCCACTGACGACAGGGCAACACTGAAATATCACAGGGACCCGAAAATTGGCTACAGCTATATTTGAACCTAAACTAAGGCGTTTAGAGTAATTCTGCACGTTTTAGGGTTTTAGATCAAATTCGGTAAAAATGCCACCCCAATAACGTGTAAAGTTACTCTACAACCCTTAGCTTAGGTCCAACGAGTCTATATGAGATCACCTGTTAATGAGCTCCTCGTGTCAGTAGTTACGTCCCTTTGTTACAGTAGTTATGTCCCTTTGTTACAGTGGTTATGTCCCTTTGTTACAGTAGTTATGTCCCTTTGTTACAGTGGTTATGTCCCCTTGTTATACAAGTTATGTCCCCTTGTTATACAAGTTACGTCCCTTTGTTACAGTAGTTATGTCCCTTTGTTACAGTGGTTTTGTCCCTTTGTTACAGTGGTTATGTCCCTTTGTTACAGTAGTTATGTCCCTTTGTTACAGTAGCTATGTCCTTTTGTTACAGTAATTATGTCCCTTTGTAACAATGGTAATGTCCCCTTGTTATACAAATTACGTCCCTTTATTACAGTGACAGGGGAATGAACTTATTTCTGATTGTGAACAAAATTACTTCAGCCAAACAGGCAAATGTAAGTGGTCAATTACCGGAAATTTCAGGTTTAACTTGTTCAAATGTGTAATGATTACATAATTCAATAGGAATGCAGAATTATGTGGACTTACAAAAGAAAATGTACAATAACGCAATTAATAAAAAGGCCTTTGTTTCGTCTCTATCACAAATTGGTTTCACTTTTTTTTATTGTGTCTCTCACAATGATTTGTTTCACGTGTTTGTATCGTCTCTGTCACAGATTTTGTTTACCTTTTTTTAACACACTCGCTTTAACAAATTAGTTTCACGTTTATAATTATAGTCATAAACAGGGTTTAACTTTCTCGCCCATCACAATTTCATTTATTCTCTTTTGAGGATATTACATCTTACAATGATGTTTATGCCCGATCATAAAAAGTATCAAATATCTGTATCTAAATCAGTACACAGACAAATACACAGGTAAATCACATCGACATTACCTTCCGTAATACGCCAAGAGCACGTTATTATATAACTTACATGTAGTGACGAATTATGCATGTTCATAACAGGTACTGAGTAGGGCTGTAACGCGGACAGGAAACCTCCGGTCTAAATATAACTTGGTGCTTCTGCACTAAATCTATGTCACCGACTTCGCAAGTCCAGTGATAGTTTTAGTGAGAAACAGACCTGCATAGTAACCTTTAACATGTTGATCGTGGTTTTAATGGTTTCCATTTCGTTTATTGTTCCTACAAACTGCGCTGCTTTCAACCGTGTCGTGTGAGTTTGTCGTTGTAGCAGAAAACAAACTTCGAGTAAACACTGTTACGTGACGTAAACAAATCGCCTTCTTCACAAACCTCAGATAACTCAATTTCATTTCCGTTTTAATACCTTTATATGTTTTCTCTTGTGTCACAGCGGATATCTAGATATGTAAATCAGCTAGAACCAATATCTTTGTGCAATAAACAGCGCAACAACAATAACGACGGGATGTGTACGCTTACGGCCTGCAAAATGTTCAGCGCCACCTGTCCTGTCCTGCCCGACATTTCCACCAATCAAAAACCGAGCTTACATTGCATTATTACATCACGCTAAATCAGTCACATATTTGGTATTTATGACGTGCAAGCACGTGGCTAGCATGTAAACAGGACTGGGTCACTATACTTATGGCTCTACGTAAACAGTACCAATTCCATTCTGACAGGAATACAACAGCAGAAGTCGGTCAATGCGAAAGTTGGTTGTTTTCTCTGATGATGAATATCGTGTGTGTAATAGATTGTAACTGGGATGTTTTGGACAGTAAGGACAGATGAAGAACCAGTGCTTGTTATTTCGTCCTAAAACGCGTTCAAATTAAAAGGTAGCAGACCAGATCAGAATCACTGACTGATGAAATATACAAAATACAAATAAAGGGGTTGTAAGAATAAAAAATCCTTTTGTCTGAGGTCAATAACTTGGTTAATTGAAGAATGGCTATATTGGTGAGAATGTTAAATCACGTGTCTTCCTCTCAATCGGACTAAACCACGTGGCTCTATTGGTGGGAATGTTAAATCACGTGTCTTTCTGTCGATCGGACTAAACCACGTGGTTATATTGGTTGGAATGCTAGATCATGTGTCTTTCTGTCAATCGGACTAAACCACGTGGCTCTATTGGTGGGAATGTTAGATCTCGCGTCTTTCTGTCAATCGGGCTAAACCACGTTGCTCTATTGTTGACTGTACGAGTGAGATTAATTTTTTCATTTCCTTTATTTTTGTCTATTAGTTGATTTTTTTTGGTATAGTTTTAGCCGAGTTTGACAATATTTTTGGTCGCGTAATCACGGTATTGTTTCTCGCTACATGTCTCCATCTCGTCCCGTTTGATATTTGCCTGGCGATGTAATGTCCATCTTATATAATCAGTGATTTAGTATGTACCAAACTGGAAACCGGAAGTAACTATTTACTAATAAAGTTAGTAATATAATAACCAGCATGGTCTCCGGAGTTGTGTGTTCGCCATTCATGAATCTACTTTGAAATATATCGGCCATCATCAGAGTCGTTACCACAGGCATTACAAAATAGTATGTGATTGCTAAACAAGTCTGTTGCATACGTGCACTATGGATTAGGTTGAATAACGTTCATTATAGGTGATCATGCGTGATGGGACTCGATTCAAGCACTAAGCTTCAGTTATGTTACAGGTTTAGGTGAATGGCATTAAATATCATAGATAACAATCACTATTTTTAATTTACCACATACGTCAGGAATGTATTCCTGGCGCAAGATGCATACAACATATAGGTTAGTGCCTGTGGGTAGATATTTCAATTATTTTACGTATGACGTAGAAAGTTGATAGGCATCTCATTAAAATAGCTATTTTGGGGCTTTCATTAATACTTAGCGTATATTGAAACAAAGATATGTAAAACCGGATGTAATCAGTGGGTAGGAATATATTATTGATAGATAGTGGAGAGAGTAAATGGGATGACTGACACGTCTAACTCCCGGGCCAGGGTATAACGGCTAATTACACACTCATTAACAGTACTGGCCACTGGCCATTTCTCCAACCTCGCCGTTTCATATAAATGTCTCGCATCTAGGAATGTATGGAAAAAACGATGGAAATATTTTAAATGAATTATTTTCATTTTAAATCCGTATCTACGGGGCATCGCCTTGATATTCGGGATACGGGTTAAGATACAGGTGTCACACGCGTGATTGATTTGACTGTTGGCGGCTCATTCGATTGAGTGCAAACGTACTTGTCAACGTCAAATTACATATTTGTACTTTTGTAGGGAAAAATCTGGTCATCAAATGATTCTAATTATATCCTATATAAAACTTATTTTTTAACCAGACTGGATTTTTCAGTTTCAAACTGTCGTGTACTATATTGTATAAGCTTACTAACATGGTGATTTTCTTGTACTAGATTGGCTCAATACATCAATAATTGATATGATATTGTAGCCAGCCCGTGTATTCGACTAACTTTGATGTATGTACCTCGGCCTACCGATACTTCTCCTTACAGTGTGTAAACAAATGTACCTCGTGACCCTTAACCACATAAATATATACAGATTCTTTATCAAATGTCTAACACGTGGTCCTAATTCAGAACAATTTACGAAGAAATTGATTCCAAGTACTGAAATTGTATAAATAATCTAAAGTAGACGCGAAACAGTACAAATTCAGTACGGAATAGCCATCACACATCCCAGTATATACCGGGGTAACATGATTCGTGAATCCGGGGCCCCCTTCCCACCTCCTCCGTATCGTTAGACACTAAACATTACCACCAACAGGCCAGCCAGTAATTAATGATTAATTTTAATTGATCTACAGTGATTCTAACTCTCCCACACATGTGACGAGTCAAGTGGTCCACGTTTTGGTAAGGGTGTAATTTTCTTTTATCCTTAGAGTAATTAGTTCGATGTTAATTGTTTACATTCACGCTAAACACAATATCTCTGATGTGCGCTGACGATCTGTAAATAAACCCGTCATTTAGGTGAGGGGATAACACTTTTACGTACATACGCTGCTATTAGTTAACTTAGGCAAACGACTTACGAAATGGAAAGATATGGTTTTGATTTGTGTCTGAAGATAAAAACATAGGTCTTCGCCATGTTAGTAGACGACCTTGAACTGTATTTTAATCCTGTTCATAGGTCGTGCCTTGTGCAGAAATACGTGTAGGCTCTCAAACTTACATAACGTCGTAACACAGGGGAGGTGACGACTGTGTACAAAAACCTTGGCACACTATTTTAAAGGCATATTTTTATCGAGATATCATAACTATTCCATAAAAATCGTAACTATTTCAGAAAAACAAAAACAGCATTCGAACAACAAGTTCGTGGTGTTAGGTGTTGATATTTAGCAGAACTGGATTCGAATCCCAGTCTGTCCCACAGGGATATGATATTTTGTTACACCTTTACTTGGACCTAACCTAAGGTGTTCAGAATAATTTCACACATTTATATATCATCTATTTTACACGTTTTGGGGGTTAATAAATGTTTTGTTGTTAAAATGTCACCCGAAAGTTTTACTACATCCCTACCCCTGTTGTTATCCCTACTCCTGTGTTCATCCCTAACCCTCTGGTCATCCCTACCACTGTTGTCATCCCTACTCCTGTGTTCATCCCTAACCCTCTGGTCATCCCTACCCCTGTTGTCATCCCTACCCCTGTGGTCATCCCTACCCTGTGGTCATCCCTACCCTGTTGTCATCCCTAACCTTCTGGTCATCCCTACCCCTCTGGTCATCCCTACCCCTGTGGTCATCCCTAACCCTCTAGTCATCCCTAACCCTCTGGTCATCCCTACCCCTGTGGTCATCCCTAACCCTCTAGTCATCCCTACTCCCGTGTTCATCCCTACCCCTGTTGTCATCCCTAACCCTCTGGTCATCCCTACCCCTGTGGTCATCCCTAACCCTCTAGTCATCCCTACCCCTGTGGTCATCCCTACCCCTGTGTTCATCCCTAACCCTGTGGTCATCCCTACCCTCTGGTCATCCCTAACCCTCTGGTCATCCCTACCCCTCTAGTCATCCCTGACCCTCTAGTCATCCCTACCCTTGTGGTCATCCCTACCCTCTGGTCATCCCTACCCCCGTAGTCATCCCTAACCCCCTGGTCATCCCTACCCCTGTGTTCATCCCTAACCCTCTAGTCATCCCTACCCTTGTGGTCATCCCTACCCCTGTGGTCATCCCTACCCTGTGGTCATCCCTACCCTGTTGTCATCCCTAACCTTCTGGTCATCCCTACCCCTGTGGTCATCCCTAACCTTCTGGTCATCCCTACTCCTCTGTTCATCCCTACCCCTGTGGTCATCCCTAACCTTCTGGTCATCCCTACCCCTGTGGTCATCCCTAACCTTCTGGTCATCCCTACTCCTCCGGTTATCCCTACCCCTGTGGTCATCCCGAACCCTCTAGTCATCCCTACCCTTGTGGTCATCCCTACCCTCTGGTCATCCCTACCCCCGTAGTCATCCCTAACCCCCTGGTCATCCCTACCCCTGTGTTCATCCCTAGCCCTCTAGTCATCCCTACCCTTGTGGTCATCCCTAATCCTCTGGTCATCCCTACCCCTCTAGTCATCCCTGACCCTCTAGTCATCCCTACCCTTGTGGTCATCCCTACCCCTCTGGTCATCCCTACCCTTGTGGTCATCCCTAACCCTCTGGTCATCCCTACCCTTGTGGTCATACCTAACCCTCTGGTCATCCCTACCCCCGTGGTCATCTCTACCCCTCTAGTCATCCCTAACCCTCTGGTCATCCCTACCCCCGTGGTCATCCCTACCCCTCTGGTCATCCCTAACCCTCTGGTCATCCCTACCCCCGTAGTCATCCCTAACCCCCTGGTCATCCCTACCCTTGTGGGCATCCCTAACCCTCTGGTCATCCCTACCCCTGTGGTCATCCCTAACCTTCTGGTCATCCCTACCCCTGTGGTCATCCCGAACCCTCTAGTCATCCCTACCCTTGTGGTCATCCCTAATCCTCTGGTCATCCCTACCCCCGTGGTCATCCCTAACCCCCTGGTCATCCCTACCCCTGTGGTCATCCCTAACCGCTGGTCATCCCTAACAGCTGGTTATCCCTACCCTGTGGTCCTCCCTACCCCTGTGGTCATCCATACCCCTGTGGTCTGACCGTGCCTGCATTGGACAATTCAGCGTTAACTTCAGCAACCTATTTAAACACGTTTTCACTTTTGAGATATAATTTTATAATGAAAACTTAATTCGATGTTAAAAATACCCACATCTTAACTGGTGTCGAGTACCGCCAATATGTAGGGAATAAAAGACAACAAGTGAAATTCGACAAAAAACAACGCAGACTGAAATTGAAACTAAACAGAGAAAATCTATTGAACAGTAAACAAGCCAGCGCCATATGTTTCTATGTAGAGTTAGGTGTAAGTGGTAGTGCAGCGTTCCTGGTAGAAAATATAACAACAAAGAGCTGAGAAAGGAAAACATTATCGAGACGTTTTTATGCGCCGTGTTTACAAACAACACCAGGTGCTGTGCTGCACTCACGTGACCTCAATCTGGTCCCATTGTGTTACTCGTTAGTAAGCACGGCCTTCCTTCCCGCGCTCTGTCAGCATCAGATGTAAACAACAAAAACAGGATTCACGTTGGCTACGTGTAGATTCTGTGCAAACGGAATGTCAACAAACATTCTGTTGATCAATTTCATACTTACATACATCTGATGAAGGGGCGGTGTTTGTATTGTGCAGCTCTACATAGGCTAGATTATTCATTACGTGAGGTGGATTTATTGGAATCGAAAGTCATTCATTGTTGCAAGGGAGATCACTCTGTCTTACACACGCGACAACAGCATGACCGACTTTTCTTTGAATATGTGATTAAATGGCATTTCAGAATTCCGGGAAATTAAACGATAGTTTTTGTCCGACGATCCTTGTTTGTGTGTCACTAAGTGTACGACTAACCAATTCTATAATATTTAATACCATTGTATTTGCGTTGTCGCGATCACATCTGAAAGAAGTTCACAAACGTCGGCAGTAGGTCAAATAGCAAACAATACATGTAATAAAATGTGGTGTGTTAGAAAATGAAGTACATTTCTTTCTTCACTGTTCCCTGAATGAATCTGCCAGAAAAGAATATTTCCAAAAATGCATTCCTAATCACAATGATGTTACCTTAGATACCAATTATTTGACCTCAATATTAAACAGTCTCTAGAACTGAGGAGAGTTGGCTTGCTGACAGTTTATTTTATAAGGTATGGACTTTGCAGCTAAAAATGTTTAAATAAAATTTTCTATTTTTTTTTATATAAATTTTAATCCCTCAGCATTTTGATATTCTCATTTTCATAGATCTTTGACATATTCAGTGGTTGTTGGAGGCTGCCAGGGTTGAGGAGCCCTGGGATCAGCCCCCCGAACAATAAAGTGTCCACACGTAGGTGGTCTTTCACTATTCGTACACCTTACATTCAATAGCTATGTTTATACATGTGTTATATATATATATATATATAAATATATATATATTATATAAAGAAAAATTCTTAACAACGAGTCTTTAGCACTTTCATCTCTTCTAGGAGATTCTTCAGACTCTTCTGGTGATTGAGATTGAGGGTCACGTGAGTCTGAAGAATCTCCTAGAAGAGATGAAAGTGCTAGAGACTCGTTGTTAAGAATTTTTCTTTACATAATATTTATTCGTCCGTAAGGATCATTTTTCTGATTTATAATATATATATATATTATATAGTTATATTAAGTTTGTAAGTTGTCCCCGCGCATGCATGTATCAGCCACCCCAACACTGTATCCGTCTGCGTCATGTCCCTGTAAAGTCTTTTACTTTGCACCCGGACAAAGAATGGGGACGTCCATTACCTACATGCACGCGGTATATTACTGTTTATTGTTGTTGTTTTTTATTACAATTATTTTTAACAAGACAAAAAAGTAAAGACTCATTTTGTTTATCCAATGATAGTATTCGATTAACAATTTCTTATCAAGTCCGTAAGTATATAATTCACTTTTAAAGGCTAGATTGAAAGAACCCCACTAATTCCACTCGTCCACTTTCAAACATTCGTTAAAGTTTGTAATGACTTACATTGTATAGGTATTTTATTTAGGTATGTGAACATGTAAGTGACATTACAAAAAGTTACACATATATTCCGGAAAATATGTCCAGACTATTTTCTAGTTTATCTTCTTCTTCTTATTATTATTCTTTCTTCTTCTTTTTCTTCTTCTTCTTCTTCTCCTTGAAATTGCTGCCATATACTGGTTACTGATTGGTTGAAACTCGGTTATTGTTCGATTTCGTTCAAATTTATTATGTATGTGTAATATGGGATTGCAAACTCAACTGCGACATCTGTTTTCTAATTTGACAAAATGGCCGCCATTTTCTAGCTTCTGATCGGTCGAAATTCAGATATTGTTCCATTTTTGTGAAAATTTGCTTACATGGGTATAAAGGGACTGCGAATTGAATCGCATAGGTTATGTTGCCATATCAACCACACGGAGGCTTCTGAATGGTACAAATTTAGATAGTGTTCGATTTTGATGACAATCGATATATAGGGGTTTTAAAGGACTGCAAATTTAATCGCATAGCTTCGTTGCCATAGCAACCACACAGAGGCTTCTAATTGGTCGAAATTGTTCGATTTCACTTAAATTTAGTATGTAGGTGTATAAAGGCATTGCGATTATTTTCTAATGCATCTTTGCGACTATGGGGTAAATATTGTTCGATTTTGATAAAAAAAAAAAATATATATATATGGCATATTGGGTTATTAGGGGACTGCGAATTCAACCGCATATGTTTCGTTGCCATAGCTACATCATAGCAACCTCATAGCAACCACATGGAGGCTTCTGATTGGTCGAAATTTAGATATATTCTTAGATTTTTTATGAAAATTGGCATATAGGGGTATTAGGTGACTGCACATTCAACTGCATAGATTTCGTTGCCATACCAACAGCAAGATTGGTCGAAATTCAGATATTGTTCGATTTCACTCAAATTTAGTATGCCTGTGTTTTATGCCATTGTGATTATTTTCTGTTGTATCTTTGCGACTATGGGGGCAGTTTGAGGGACTTCTGTAATGGTCCCCCATTACAATTAGTACTAGTTTTGTTCATGTTAATGTATATTAGAAATATAAGCAATCACTTTGCGACTTTTCTACATGTACATGTCTGTGTATGTATTTCACTGTGTTTTACTATTTTGCCTTCAAACTTCTTTGTAGTAACAAATGTGCAAATAAAATTTGAATTTGAATTTGAATTTGTTATCAATATTTAAAATGAAAAAAACCCCAACCCTTTCATAATCGAACAAAATTGCTGAACAGTAGGGTACAATAAGATGTGTAACATTCACTATGTATTCTTAGGTAGGACGTACTTAAAGTTACTATAATCATAGGCACACTTACAAATTGTGCGATAGCTGACCAAGACTCAACTAGGACCTGATACTTTGTTACAGCTATATTTGGACCTACACTAAGATGTTCCCAGTAATGGTACTCGTTTAAGGGGTTTATATCAGCTTTTGGTAAAAAACGCAACCCCAATCATGTGAAATTACTCTGAACACCTTAGTTTAGGTCCAAATAAAGCTGTAACAAAATATCAGGTCCCTGTGCACGACCGTTGTGGTATTGCACTTGACATTGATACATCGCTGTTATCATTTTACTCCATCAATAAACATTTTTATACATACATGTCAAACACATAATATACAATTAAAAATGTTTTAATGCAATAGCACAACATTTTTATAAAATGTGTCCAGCCATGAATTTACTGTGTGACGCAATGACGCTGATCCCTACGATCTAATTACCAAGCATTGCTGCTCTACCGACGGATTAATCCGCAAGGTCCTTCCCCTCTTGAAATAAAAATACATTTTAAAACCGGAGACGTACACGCCCTTCTTTTTCAGAATATCAAGTTCGAGGTCTTCGCTCCTCTCGTACAGGAAAGTCCCGTGTTCAACGGTTTTGTTTTCACTGTCGTAAATCACAAGTTAAAAAACCCCACAACAAAATGGTTACAAAATGATATATCGTTAGCAAGGTGTATACTGTATGTTTTTCTCATTTCTATTTTTAGAAAACTGACAGGTGATTCCGAAGTTATGCTCTGGTGTGTCATAGAGAGGTGGCTGGTGTTTTTTTAGAGGATCAGAAATAATTGATCTCGGTTAAATGTGGCCTTCCTATTTGATCGTTTAGTCAGAACGAAAACTTTCATATGTATATGCGTATTAAACGTTAATGTCTCCACCTACATTTACAGTTAAAGTACTTATCGAGTTTAACAACTCGGAACCACACCTGTTCGCGCTCCTACACCTGTCACACTCCAGTACACCTGGGTGCAGGTAACTTTCTTATCTTGATTAATGTCATATAATAATTTCCTTTTCATTACTGTAATAACATCATTTTAACGCCCTATCCCAGGGATGTGTAGTGGAGGGATATCCACTACACATCCCTGCCTACCACAGCAACCGCCCGTTGGATATAAAGTTAGGATAAGTATTACACCGTGAAATTGGTTTTACAATATTTAAAACAACTGAGTTTTTTAAATACACAAACGCATCGTGTCGAGTGTCGTCAGACTTCTAAGTTCTAAGTTCTAAGTTCTTTATTAACTTTAAGTCTTGCGACTTATCAGTGTAAACATATATTAAACAGGATATTTACATATGTACAGACTGATTTAAAACAACCAGGTGAGTAGCTGCCGTGTTATCTGTACGAAGGTACAACAACAAACACAAATACAAAAGACAATTAAATGCTTGATTTTATTGTGGGACATTTCAATTTCGTGCGAATTATCCTCTGAATAATAGTCCTGAGACAGATTGATCTTTAAATTCGTACATTCATTTTTTCGCCTGGATGTGGGGGTACAGCCCCGCCCCCGTACCTGTCCCCCTACCAGAGCGTTCCCCTGGACTTGCTCCTACACGAATTCACTCCACTCTGGGCCACACCCTCTGTAGGACCACACCCTTCGCACGATAAGATACTGGTAACCCTGTATGCACCAGTTGCGTTTTAAGAGTTACCATATATCAAT